CTCACTTTACAATGCAATATTTTCTCAACCTATGATGGCACTTTGCACCAGGGCTCTGGATGACCAAGTTCGATGTTGCCGATGCTTATCTCCATATTCCCATAGTGTAATCTTCCCGGAGGTTTCGCAGATTTGTGCACAAGGGTCAGGTGCTGCAGTTCAGGGCTCTACCTTTCGGTATTGCATCAGCACCTTATATCTAATGCAGATTTATTCAAGCTTTTTCTCATTTTCTGCATTCCTTGGGCCTGTGCACACATTATTATTTGGATGACTGGCTCCTTCTGGCACCATCCTGTCAATTAGCAGAACAACACTCTCAGATTCTCCTTTCAGAAGCTAAAAAAGCAGGCTTCCTTATCAGACTGGAGAAATCTATTCTGTCACCAACACGATATCTTATATATCTGAGTGTGTCTTTCAATACTCAAGTTGTACTCAACCAACCCCTATCAGGTTTCTAGCCATGGAAAACCCATCAGGCTTTTATTCATGTCTTCTTCTCCTACTGTGTGGATGGTTCTCTCTCTCTTTTGGAGATGTAGGCAATCCTCAAACCTCTCATTCCTTTGGAACAAGCACATATGAGGTCCCTTCAGCGGTCACTGTGTGATCAATGGATCATGCATTTCAATCCTTTGGTTCATCCTGTCTCATTACTCAGGAGCAACATCATCAATTACGAATGGTGGTTGGATCAGAACAACGCTACTGTTGGGGTACCCATTCCACCACCTCGTCCCGAGATCCATCTATTCATACATGCATCTCTTCAGCAATGGGGAGCTTATCTTCAAGGTCAGGAGTTCCAAGGTATTTGGACAAAAGACGAGTCTACCCTCCATTTCAACATTCTCAAACTCCTTGCAGTACACCGGACAATGGTTCAAGGTCTGTCTCTCTTGAAGGGAAAAATTGTCATGATGCATTCCGACAATTTCACGGTGGTATCTCAAATTTCTTATCAATGAGGCACACATTCTCGAGACCTTTGTTTTCTTACCTTGGATCTTCTCTACTAGGCTCATTACCATTATATCAGTCTTTTAGCATGTTATGTTCCAGGAGGTATGAATTTAATTACAGATCACTTGTCTCGACCCAACCAGGTTCTTCTCTACTGGCCTTATTACCATTATATCAGTCTTTTAGCATGTTATGTTCCAGGAGGTATGAATTTAATTGCAGATCACTTGTCTCGACCCAACCAGGTTCTTCTGACAGAATGGATGCTACATCATGAGGTTTTTCAGTAGATTTGCTCTCAGTTTAGGTCTCTAATGATTGATGCCATTGCAACTCATTGGAATTCTCAACTGCAGTTGTTTTGGTCTCCGATACATCATCCTCAAGAGTTAGCAGTAAATGCATTCAGTCAAGACTGGACAGGTTTACGTCTGTATGCCTTTCCCCCAATTTGGCTATTGCCCGATGTTCTGACTATCATTCGCTCCACTCCCTGTCAAGTTCTCTTGGTTGCACCATATTGGCCAGCTCAAATATGATTTCCACTTCTTTGGTATCTGCAGGTATGTCCACCTCTTCCACATTGGCAGTTTCTGTTGAGACGACCTCGATCAGACATTCTCTACCCAGATGTTTGGAACTCAATCTTCATGCTCGTAAGTTATGCAGTATTTTGCCCAACATAAGGGTTTAACTTCTAAGGTTTCTCTGTGTTTAATTAAGTCTCTCCATAGGCCAAACATAGCCGTTTATCAACGGAAATGGAATACTTATCGTCAGTGGTGTATTAAAAGTATCTACCATACCCCATTTTATGACTTGGGTATTTGAGAGGGTTCTTGCATCGTCTACAGTGGCTTTATATAAGGCATCCTTATCCAATATTTTTCACTATTCCAAATATCAGAAGGTTTTTGAATCATCAGTACTATCAGTTCTACTCTAATCTTTTCGTATTCTTCAACTCAAATGACCTTTTCAATTATTAGATTAGGATTTTACAGTTGTTTTACATGCATTGTCTCATCCTCACTTTGAGCCCTTAGCTTCGTATTCTTTGTTTCACCTTTCTCTTAAATTCTATTATTTTGTTGTTGTTGGCTTGTGGACATCATTGGTCAGAGTTGTTTGCAGTCCATGTGCATCAGACTCTCTATCATTCCACATTTATCCTGGTTTAACCCCATTAGGTCTTTTCTTCCCAAGACTCTGGGAAGGGTTAAAGATCCTTCTCATCAATCCATTTGCCAGCCATTTCTTACCTTTATGACCACTCCTGATCATTTGTTATGTCCTATTAGGACCCTTAAGTTTTATGTGGCTTGTACTGACTAGTTTCGAGGTAGTAGGAATCGATTGTTCATTCATTGGAATCCTTCTATTTCCAATTATTTATCTCCCATTACCCTAACTAGGTGGCTTCATAAAATGATTCACATGGCCTATAATGGATTATCATTACAGGAGAGGAATGTTTTGTGCGTCACATCTCACCACATTCGTCGTATCTCTATGTTATTAGCCACGCAGTTGAATTGCCCTCAGGAAGACATTGTGAACTATTCCTAATACTTTCCTATCTCATTACTTACATGATCCAGCAGTTTCCTCTTCTGAGGGTTATCAACTACTCCCTGTAGCTATTTTAACCAGAGGTGAGTATTTTCCTCACTCATATACTCTTTTATTTCCAGAATCCCTTTATTTTTCACTGGATCCCTTTCTGTGGGGAGTGTTGCCTTGGCAGGTATGCTTTCTTTTTCAGTTTTGCACTAGTAAGCACTTTAACTATAACTACTACAGGGTGCAACAGGCTCTGTCAAAATGGAAGGTTCCATAAGACCATCTGGACACTTACCAGAAGGTATTACCTTATTATTATGGACCGCCACTTTGATATAGGAACTGAGTTCTAGGTGAAGGGCATACCTGAGTTGGATGAAGTGCAGTTCCCCCACTCTTGTACCATCTTAATCTTGGTACACTCCTCTTCTATACAGATGCTTTCTATATGGTTTATGCCTGCACTGGTCCCTCCACTTTCTCAATGTGGGAGTATAACTATAATGTCAGCAGAGGTATGTATGTTATGTAAGTTAACATTTTCCTAAACTGAAAATGTAATTCCAATAATACTTACCTCTGCTGACACTTTCCTGCCCTACCTCTTCACTAAAAGCCAAATTATATCTCAAAAAAGAGATTACATTATCTGAATGAGGTGCTTATATACATATATAAAGTACCTAGATAGATGACACATTGAAGTTGGTGGAGAATTTTGCAAATTAGAATTTCCCAAGGGCATTTGAGTGGGTTATAAAATACTGGAGCAAACGTTTTCAATGCTTGGATGGGGATAGAGTAAAAACCCTGGAGATTGAGAAACAGTTATAGTGTCAGCAGAGGTAAGTAATATAGGAAATACATTTTCCATTTAGGAAAATGATAACTTTCTTAAAAGAGTATTGATGTCATGAAATTCAAAAACTTCTCAAAACAGTATTTGCTTCCTCTGATACCCCTGAAATCATAGTAACCTATCATAATGTGAAACTGATACAATTTTATGCATGCCTGGACATTGTATTTCAATGTGTTGTTATTTTTAGGCAATACATTAACCACTCACTGTTCACATCTCCAGTTCCTAGACCTGTCCACTCTAACAAAACAGCTGGCAGGTGGATGATACCATGCCAGTAGCTTGTTTTATTGGAACTGGCATACTTGAAGTAAGTAAGCACTGCCAATAAGGTGTAAAGATACCCTTCCAATGTCAATATTAATCTCTCATGTAGGACCTTATGCCATTCAGTCCTGCTTATATCCAGTAACTAGGCATATCTGTGTTGTTTTCACCCTGTAATAACATTTTCTATCAAAGTGTCCTCTTTCTGCTTGATGATCTCTTAGCTTACCCACTATATGTGGCAATATCTGGTACATCTGATGCCTGAACATCTACTAAAACAAAACTAATTGTAACATGGGCAATAATTCTGTACTTGTACTTACAAATCAACTGATAGTAACTCTCACATAATTAAATCTAAATACTAGAGCCATACCAACAGGTAGCGACAAGGTAATGAGCCTATAAACGAACACATGGTAGCACTGTAAGTTGGAAAAAAGAAAACACAAACTAGCTCTGTACTTGAAACTAAACACAATAACTTGTACTAAATCCTCATAATTGGTAACTCTGCAGTATATTTGAACTAAACACATGGCACATTGTACTTATCCTATAACTTAGCAGTTGGTAAAAGTGTAATTAAACCTATATCTAGTCATGTGGTAAATTAATACTTATTAATTAATAAAACTAAAAAATTCACAACAACTTGTAGACCATTGCAAAGTTTTTATTAAATTAATGATGATGTACATACCAGAGGTGTTTAGCATACAGACAACTATTAATTCATGTTTTTTGTGTTAGTGGTATTACACCCTTTCTTCACACCTTGAACCTTGGAGCACAGAGTCTGTCTTAAGATTGCATTCAGTGTTGTGCTGGTATTCAAAAGACATCTGCTCAGTGCACCATCTAGAATTAGCAGAACTAATGATTTTCTGATCTTTTGCTATTCATATGTAACTTTTCTGAATTTGTGTAGGTGACATTGTTATTAAAGAAGGTAACCCAAGGATTGTGTGGCCTTATCATAATCAGTCTAGTAAGTTGCATATTCTTTACATATTGCACTGTATCTGGTATTATTACAATTCATGTATAAACGTACTTAACTGATCTTATTTCATTACTGTTAATTAGGTAGGCTCAGAGTATCTTCCAAGATAGAGGTCTGCTTGAATGTATTTATTTAATTTTTCACAGTAAATTGATCTACATCTGTTCATTTTCTCTGCTAGTTATTTTCTCAATGGGTGAATAAAATTTGATGGTAATAAGCAAGAATAGCCATCAACTATCTACCCAAAATAACACCTTTCAGTATCAGAAAATGTACATGTACATATATTTCTTTCTGAAAAGGTCGTGATAAAATTTGATTGTGTCTATACCTACACATCTTGTAGCAGTGCAGATAAGATTCTGGTGTATACAGTACTAATGACTATTCTACCTCCATCAAAAGAAAAATTTGGTAAGTTTATTTACTTAAAAAAGTAAATTTTTATTGCAGTATGTCATTAGGATAAGCATTGGTCTTTGAGGTTTTCATTGCATATAATTTGTCAGATAACTCTACATATTTGTACTTGTGTATATAATAAGTACAAGAAACAAATATGGTGGTCAGAAATGCTACTCATCTTTCCACAAAGCTGATATGTATTACCTTATGCCTCTATTGAAAACATTTTTACCCATACACCATGCCTTAACTGAAACTCCCACTTCTACATGTATTAACATGTACTGTGCCAGTCTATGTTGCTGTTATAATTAGACTGTATCTTTCATGTGCTGTGGAGTCCATGAACATCTTGTATATTAAGAAAGGCTTGTCTTTTCCTTGGCACTGCTTATGATTTTGATGTGTTTTTCATTATGAATTAGAGAATTTTTGCTCTTTTTTCTCTTAAACTTTTACTGATCATTCAGAGATGTCTTTATTTTCTTGTAAGAAAATTTAAACATTTCACTTAGAACTTCTGAGATGAATTATTTTCTTTCATTTATTTAATTTTTTGTTTTAATCAAATTGAGAGATGTGAAATATGTTTCAGAATTTGTGATATGGTTTAAAGGAATATTCCCCAACATTCTTCATGCAGTCTTTAAGTTTCAAAAAATAAATTACAGTTTTTGTCATTATGTCAGTGACTATATCCTATATACCATGGAAATGTTAGACATATTTCAAAAAATCTAAGTGGTTTTGTTGATTGGTTCACCCAAGAATTTGTGCATCCACATTTCTGATACCTCCCAAGGTCCTAACACTCCACAAGGGTCATCTTCTACTGTTTCAAAGGTGACTGGAAGCACTCTGATGGTCAGTGATATTAATGCCATTGTGTGATTAAGTGTTTGGTTCCATTTTGATCTTTGATCCAAATTCCAAACCTCCTGCCCCTGTGGTTTCAGCTGAGTTTATCTTGTCTTTTGATTATTTTGTCCAACTGTCCCTACCACATCACCTGTTTTTGCTTTAGGTTCTTTCTTTCCCAATGAGAAACAGGTCACTTACATCATCCATTGCTGCTTTGATTACTCAGGTATTTGACGTTATCTTTCTCCAGTACTTTTTTTTACTGAATCTTGGGTTACCTTGCTGTTGAGCCACCTTGTACATTTGACTATCTTCTCTTTTTCCTTTCCACTGATATTCTTGTTCATCTTGCTGATACAAGTTTGTCTCAACTTTGTACTAAACCCCAGCTGCTTTGTCCTCATAAACCTTGAGAATCTTATTTTGTTGCATATGGTCATGGTTCTTCTTTCATTGAGCTTCAGTCCCTTGAGTTTCTTCTCCCAACCTGGGTATCTCTTTGTTCACCTTTTTTTTTTTCTTTCTAACCTTCAATCTGCTTGTCTTCATTTTGCTCAGATTTCACTATCTGTCCATGCTTCATCTTTTGAAGGCTGTACATTGTGACTTGACAGATTCACTGGAAACAGTCGTAACTCCCTATTCTCCATCTTGGCTTTTATTTCTTTTCAGTGTCCCATTTTACTTGGTTTCTTTGTTTCTCTAATTTACTTGTGTGGGATGCCTTACTATTTGAAGATGGTCTCTCTCAGTCTTATTTCAGGGACTTCCATGTGGCATCCTTCTTTTGTGATGAGGTTTTTGGGGGAGTTCCTTATATTCTAAGCTTAAGCATCTTGTTAGTAGTTATCTCTGTTCACTGTGGTTTCCTGCTTTGTTCAGTCTAGGAGATTCCAACAGGTTTCTTGTCTTTAGGATCATCTGTGGTTACCCACTCTCCTGCTCCTTGTTCTTTACTACCTTCTGATGCTCCAACTCTCAGAGGATTGGTTGTCATGAGTTGAAGAGGTGACTTGATTCTGGAGCCAACCCTCAGCTCTAGTTCTTTGGGAGCTTGACTCTCCTAATTTGTGCATCTGTGGACTCCCATTGCATAAGACATTTGGGTCACATAGGTGCTTTCTCACAGGCTTTCCACACTCAACCATCTCTTTTTTTCCCCCATTTCCTTAGTTCCTTTGCATCTTTGGCACCTAGAGAAGGTTTTATCTTCTCTCCAGGTTATGGATGCTGTAAAACAGGCCCTTGACTTCACTCTGGGGTTTTATTCCTATTTGTTTTGTTTTTTTATTCCTATGAAGATGGAAGATTAGCAACTTATCATATAACTATCGTCCTTGAACCCATTTCTTCTCAGTTCCCAGTGAATGTTTTTTTTTCACTCTGTTATGGGTTTTTTCTCCTGGGCTATAAGTGATGAAGGTAGATGTTTCAAATGAGTTTCTTTACTTTCTGATTGACTTTCCACATGTTGTTTCCTCTGATTCATCCATAACAGTTGGAAATTTCAGTTCTGGGCTTTTTCCTTTGGGTTGGCTGTGGCCATGTATGTTTTTGGTTGAGTTCTTATGGCATTTGCACAGAGGATACAGTCATGAAGTCTAAATTTCTACTACTGTATGAATGACTGGCTCCTCATCTCATCCAAATAAGCATCCTCAGCGGTGACCTCCTTTCATCTTCAGGATTGTCTTGTTTGAGTTAGCTAGTCAAGCTCTCCAAGTGCACCTTGAGCCTCCCCCACCCACCCAGTATCTGATTCATTTGGGAGTCTTTTTACCTCATTTGCAGAGCAGACTCTGCCTTCTCCTTTTCATCTTCAAGACATTGAATTTCTGGTTACTAAAGATGTATGCCTCTATATCTCCCTCTGTGAGAGGCTGGGTCTTATTTTGGGTACTCTGACTTTTCTCAAATCACATGTTTCTTTTGAATGTGTCTATGTACATCCTCTTCAGTGGACTCTTGCTAATCACTGGGAGCTGTCCAGAAATCTGCACTATTTTCTTGTGTCTCTCCCTCCTCTTCACTTCTATGTGTTGTGGTGATTCAGTTGGTCCCGCACATCCCTGGGCATCCATTTTCCCCCATCTTGCTCAGACTTGCACCTATCTGGATGGGACAAATTTTGCTGGACACCTGGGGCCTGATTTCTAGCAAAGCAGTCTCACCATATTAACATTCTCAAATCACTTGTCATAATCTTATGTCTCATCTGCCTGGTCATTTTGCATGATCTGTTGAGAAAAAATCCACTGTTGTTTTTTACATCAATTGACAAGAAGGTACTTGCTCTTAGGACTTCTGTTCTTAGACTCTGGACTTTCTCCTTTGAACCCATAACTAACAAATTCAGTTGCCAGCCTGTAATATCCCCAAAGCTTTGACCTTGGTAATGGATTAGCTGTTTTACCCTGACCAGATTCTTCCCAAGGAGTATTCTTCACATTCTTTGATGTTTCAATGAATTTATTCGTAACTTGGGAGTACTCTCATCATTGTCATCGTGACTCTCCTCACTGCACAGTTTTCACTTTCCAGGTCACCAGTCCAGGCCATTACACCTCTGCCTCTGGTTGTTCTTAGATAGGATTGATACAATCCCTTTCTATCTGTTTATCAGTGACCTTCCATCTCTTCTCTGGCCATTCTTCTTTTCTTTCTCCAGTTCATAAACTTCTGCAGAACCTTTCCCACCAGCTGTCCTCCCTATCAAATTCCTCTTTAGGACTGGAACATCTGTTCAGTGTTCCCCCTGTTCAAACCTTTGGCCACATGTTTCCTGTAGCATCTTTGCCTAATGATGTATTTTCTCCTACTTGCTTGTGAGAGATGTTACTCTGACACTTTGCTTTGGAGGTTTCCTGCATTCTTTATCAGAGGAATTTGTTGATTTTATTTCCAGACCATTCCTTTTTCCCCAAGACTTGGGCTGTCCTAGAGAGTGATTAGATATTTTCTCCAATCACCCTCCCTTTCCATTCTTCTCTGTACCATCACTCTGACCTTATCATTTTTGAGGCAGTCTACATCATCTTTTTCTGCTGTGGGATTCTTCTCTTTGTCATAACTTATCTCTTTCCACTTTGACTGTTTGGGCCAAAAACTCATCTGGTTAGTGTTTCCTTTTGTGGGTGATGATACTTTCCATCTTTTATTATGTCATTTCACATCTTTTGCTTCTAGCTGTTGACATCACCTGAATGAGATCTTACAAGTGGGGAATTGGAGGACCTCAGAAATGTTTGTGTCACATTACTTACATTGCATTACAGTCTAAAATGCTTCTGAGTTGTTCATTATCCTTTTTTTTTTTAAAGCTTCCATAACTACCTTGCACTTTCTTTACATATATAATCTGGATATAATAAAGCTTTGGCCAGTGTTACCTCACAGGATATACTTCTCTCTCCCAATATCCACTTTGAGTAGGGGATAATCAACAGCCCATCTGCCTTTTCTCAGTGCTGGCTGATGAGATGGTGTTTTCTGCAAGACAATCTTAGCAGTGTATGTATATTTTATCTTCCAGGCTGTACTTCAGGAACAAAAACGACAAAAAAAGAAAAATCCAGCTGTGACCCTGCCTTCATACCTGGGTAGCACTTGCTACCCCTATTCACAGCAACCTATTGTACAGACTTATCAGTGTTTAACCTTATATAGAAGTGACGTGATGATTCCTGTGGTCGAGACACCTCTCCAGCTTTCTCCCTTATTTATATTCCTCCCTTCCATCTTATTCTTGAAGTGTAAAGGAAAAACCCTTGCTTCCCCAGTCCCAAGCAACTGAGGAGGTGGATGTGGGAAGATTCTCTTCATGTTGGTGTAATCTCACTGGTATGAAACTGAATGGATACACTCCTTTATCAGAAATAGGGCTGTAGTGTTTACATGAAAGTGAAGTACACATATCACCTGGTTATACTACTTGGATGGGTCACATTTTCATTAGGATGATTTCTCTATGCACATGCTTATTTGTCGAATATGGCTTGACTTATTATTTCCGAGATACAATACACATACATGCTTTCCTGACCACTGAGATATGCAGAGCAGTTCAGAAGTCTTTACATTCCAGCCACCTATTCAATACTTTAACACATGCAGGAAGCTCTTTTGATTGCACCTTTTTCTCTACCACT